CATCCATTCATTCATTCATTCATTCATTCAACCATTCATTCAACCATTCATTCATCCATTCATTCATCCATTTATACATTATCGATTTCTAAATGCAAAAATTTAAAAAAAAACCTACTTAACTCAATCTTAAAAAGGGGAGAGCGATAAAAACTGCATAGATACAAAAAACTAAATTGAAAAAAAAAACTAAAAATAGTCAAAAAATTCACCAAAAAATGATTGATAATCTTTGTTCGACTAAAAAAAATTTTATTCTATGCATTTGATGGGATTACGCATCTATGTGTGTTCTATATCTATGCTGTCGTAAATTTATTTATCTTTGTACAGTTTACGTCATTTTGCCGGCTTTGTTGATGTCTTTGTTTTGTTTGACGCTATTTTTAATCTTCGGTTATATCATGATCGTTATCAATGCCATTGTTAGTTATGTGCATGTGCATACGCAGAGACATAGAGAGAAAGAGAAAGAGAGAGAGAGAAAGAAAAAGAGGAAGAAAAAGACGACAGAGAGCCAGTCAAAGGAACAGAAAAACAGAAAGAAAGAAAAGGAAAGAAAGAGAAATAGTTAAACAGAAAAAAGAGAAAGAAAGAGAGAGAAAGAGAGAGAAGGAGAGATTTGTATGCATTACGCTCTCATAGTTGAATAGTTAAAATTTGAAATTCTATGCAAGAAAAAATTTTTCTCTCTACAAAGAAAAAAAATACGAAGAAATCTCTTTTTTGTTATAAAATTTTGAAAATGAAGTGCTTTTTTGTTTAAGATTCTATGCACATATATTTTTGGATCTTTTGTTTTGTTTATTTTTTATGTTATATATTCTATCTATGTTTGCTTATCCGCATTATCTTTATTATTCTTTGTTTGTCCATATTATAATTCTATGGCGACAGAGAATGACCGCGAGCGATAAAAGAATGGCAAGTGATGACGATGATGACGACGACGATGATGCTACTGCTGTTTCTGCTGCTGATGATGATGCTGCTGCTGTTGATGATGATGATGACCATGTTGAATATGAGTAAAAACTAAAATGGGTGAAACTTGAATAAAAATTTTGATGCAACTATTCCGATATGCGAATTTGTTTTTTTATCCCGATAAAATTTCAGTAATTTATTTTTCATTTTTTTTCTTTTTATAACGTTTAATTTTTTTTACATTATTAAAATATTTATGCTGTTTTCCGGGTAGGCATTTTGTAGAGCATTAAAATTCTCATATCTTTGTTAGTGTCCGGTTTTAATGATATGCTTTTCAAATTTTCCTATATGGGTAGCAAAGAAATTTAATCGTCATCACCATCATTATCACCATCAACAGTAGCATCTTCATCC